TGAAAGAGGAGACAGAGGTCTCTTTCTCCAAAATTAATCTCTGTATTTAACATAACGACAATTCAATTTACTTCAAGAGGGAGTGGCCCAGTTCAGCAAATGGGCACTTTCATCTAAACTTGTGCAAGCTTTGGAGGGAAAGTTGAGATGGTATATATAAAAATTTGACATGTGCATCCCTTTTGGCTCAGAAATTCTACTTCTAGAAACCTACCCTGCAGAAATGTCAACATATGCTACCAAAGAGGGACAAGGAATGTTCATGGCAGTTTTATTTGTAATAGTTAAGAAACAGAGAGAGACAAAGGGGCAGGAAAGGAGAGGAAGAAGGAAGGATGAACTATTTCCAGTGATAGGGGACAGATTTTGAGGTAATTATACAAGGGGATGATATGGAGACGTTAAAAAGAAAGAGAAAGGTTTAAATACACTGACATTTAAAAAGTCTTAGCTAGATCTCTGCTATGGACTGAATGTTTGTGTTCCCCCAAAATTCATATGTTAAAACCCTAACTCCCAATGTGATGCTATTTGGAGATGCGCTCTTTCGGAGGTAATTAGGTCATGCCAGTGGAACTCTCCTGCTGGGATTAGCACCCTTATAAGAAGAGACAGGAGAGAGCTTCCTTCCCTTCTGCTCTCTGCTCTGAGCACACAGCAAGAAAGTGGCTATCTGTAAACCAGGAAGACAGTCCTCTCCAGAACCCAACTATGCTGGCACCCTGATCTGAGACTTGCACCCTCCAGAAATGAGAGAAATAAATGATTCTGCTGTTTACCGGTCTATGGTAATTTGTTATAGCAAACCAAGCAGATTAAAATAGTCTCTAAGGGAAAAATGCAAACTATGTCAATGCAAACTGTAGAAAAATGTATATAGTATGATTATTTTATTTTTAATGTGGAGTATAATTTAGTGAAAGAGAGATGAAGGTACTAGGATTGGAGGTTTCCTGTTTTGCTGTCTACGCCTGTGCAAAGAGCATGTATTACTTTTATGATCATTATTAAACATTCAATTCAACAAATACCAAGTCTTGCCCCAGGCACTGGGATGTGAACACGACAGTCTCTACCCTCAGTTTCTCCTCTAAGGTCCCTACTCTCAAGACCCTTGTTACCAAAAATCGAATAGAAATCCAAACATGATTTTGTTTGTTTCTTTTGGTAGATGGGAAGAGGCTGGTTAACTTGACCAAAGTATTCTAAAGATCATCTAGAATTAGTACTAACAAAAACAGCTGGGAAATGCTTGCTTTGCTGGCACATATACTAAAACTGGAAGGATATATCAAAGATGAGCATGGCCCCCGTGCAATGATGACATCAAGTTTATGTAGTACTCCATAACTTTTTATTGTGATGGTGGTTACATTTGACAAAATTCATCAAAATATACATTTAAATGGTGCATTGCATTGCACGTAAACTATACCTCAAAAAAACTGATTTTTTAAAAAGCCAGGAAAATGGTGATACTGGGTAATAATAGAGAATCTGCCTAACTAGCTATTAAACCTATTATAAAACTTCAGTAATTAAAATAACATGGCAATGGCACCAAAATATACTGATAAGTAGACAGATGCAAAAATTCACAGACAAAAATATGTAATAATTCAATCTATCATGATTGTAGCAATTTAAATCAGGGGTACAAAATGAACTTAATAGCTTTGTAGCAATTGGCTAACCATTCAGGAAAAGTAAATTGGTTCTCCACTATTATAACTTAAACTAGAATAAAATTCCACATTAACATTTCTAAACAAAAGCTTAAAAGTACCTCAAGAAAATACAGGAGAATATTCATACAAACTTGGGTTAAGAAAGGCCTTTCTCAGGAATAAAAGGAATCCAAATAGGCAACGAAGAAGTGCAACTCTCACTATTTGCAGACGACATGATTTTATATATTAAAAACCCTAAAGAATCCATTGGAAAACTATTAGAAATAATCAACAACTACAGCAAAGTCACAGGGTACAAAATCAATCTACAAAAATCAGTTGCATTTCTGTATGCTAATAACGAACAGAAAGAGAGCTCAAAAAGATAATACCATTTACAATTATATCAAAAAGAATAAAATATCTAGGAATAAATCTTACCAAGCAGGTGAAAGACCTACACAATGAAAACTACAAGACATTATTGAAAGAAATCGATGATGACATAAAGAAAGGGAAAGACATCCCATGCACAGGGATTGGAAGAATAAACACAGTTAAAATGTCTATATTACCTAAAGCAATCTACAGATTCAGTGCAATCCCAATCAGAATCCCAATGACCTTCTTCACGGAAATAGAAAAAAGAATACTAAAATTCACATGGGGCAACAAAAGACCCCGAATAGCTAAAGCAATCCTAAGAAAAAAGAACAAAGCTGGAGGCATCACAATCCCTGACTTCAAAACATACTACAAAGCAATAGTAATCAAAACAGTATGGTACTGGTACAAAAACAGACACACAGATCAATGGAACAGAATTGAAAGCCCAGAAATAAAACGACACATATATGGACAGCTAATTTTCGACAAAGGAGCTAAGAACATACAATGGAGAAAGGAAAGTCTCTTCAACAAATGGTGCTGGGAAAACTGGACAGCCACGTGCAAAAGAATGAAAGTGGACCATCTGCTATCGCCATTCACAAAAATTAACTCAAAATGGATCAAAGACCTGAAGGTGAGACCTGAAACTATAAAACTCATAGAAGAAAATATAGGCAACACACTATTTGACGTTGGTCATAAAGGAATCTTTTCAGATGACATGCCTACCCAGCCTAGGGAAACTAAAGAAAAAATAAACAAGTGGGACTTTATCAGATTAAAGAGCTTCTACAAGACAAACGAAACCAGAATCAAGATGAACAAACAACCCACCAGCTGGGAGAAAATATTTGCAAAACATACATCTGGCAAGGGGTTGATCTCCATAATATATAAAGAACTCACACAACTGAACAACAAAAAAACAAACAACCCGGTCAAAAAATGGGCAGAGGAAATGAACAGACACTTCTCCAAAGCAGATATACAGATGGCCAATAGGCACATGAAAAGATGTTCAACATCACTAATCATCAGGGAAATGCAAATCAAAACAACACTAAGATATCACCTCATGCTCGTTAGAATGGCTATAATCACCAAGACAAAAAACAACAAATGTTGGAGAGCATGTGGAGAAACAGGAACCCTCATACACAGCTGGTGGGAATGCAAACTGGTGCAGCCTCTATGGAAAACGGTATGGAGATTCCTCAAAGAATTAAAAATAGAGATGCCCTATGACCCAGCTATCCCACTACTGGGAATCTACCCAACAAACCTGAAATCAACAATCCAAAGAGGCTTATGCACCCCTATGTTCACTGCAGCATTATTCACCATAGCCAAGAAGTGGAAACAACCCAAGTGTCCCCCGACTGATGATTGGATCAAGAGGATGTGGTATATATATACAATGGAATATTACTCAACCATAAAAAAAGACAAGATCGTCCCATTCGCAACAACATGGATGGGCCTGGAGGGTATTATGTTAAGTGAAATAAGCCAGAAAGAGAAAGACAAACACCATATGATCTCACTCATATGTGGAACATAAACCAACACATGGACAGAGAAAACTGTATTGTGGTTACCAGGGGCAATGGGGGTGGGGGGTGGGCACAAGGGGTGAAGGGAGACATGTATATGGTGATGGACAAACAAAAATGTACAACCCAAAATTTCACAATGTTATAAACTATTTAAACATCAATAAAAAAAAAAAGGCCTTTCTCAGCAAGATCCTCAAGCAGAAATCATAAAGAAAAACAATAATAGATTTGGCTAAATAAAAATGTTAAACTTGCTATGATCAAAGACGAAAACCTGACAAAAACATTAAGCAAACTGGGAAAGATCGTACAACACATATGACCAAATTACGACTTTAATGTGTAATATATAAAAAGTGCTTAAAAATCAGGAACAGAAAGACACTCCAATTGAACAAGGGGCAAAATAATTAACAGTCAATTCACCCACACAAACTCAAAAGGCCAATACACAGAGGAAAAGGGGTTGATTCCCCCTGGGTAATCAGACATGCAAATGAAAACAAGATACTATTTTTGCCCATGTTATTGATTTAAATGTGTGTACGCAGGGAAAATTTTAAGATAACCAGAAACTCTCAACAATCTAGACGATGAAGTTTTAAGTTATCTTTACTTTCTCCTTTACATTTTTGTTTCCTGAATATTTTGTAATAAGCTTATCTTTTAAAAAATTCTAATAATTTTAATAACGTTAGGTGTTAGACACACAGCTTTCTCCTCATCTTCTAAAGTAGCTGGTGCAGCGCCCTCTAGAAACGCCCTCCTGAAAACAGCTATTCCCCCCACAAGGTTTAGCTCTCTTGGGGAAACACGCGCGCACACACCTGCACGTTTTGCTAACGGTCCGCATCGTGACGTCATCACCGGAGTCGCCCTGCGGTCGCGCCCCCCGCGTCGGGGAGAGCACTAGAGGAGCAGGGGGCGCTCGGGCCCCGCCACACCGCGGGCCGGGCGCAGTGCGGCACCGGCAACGCCCGCGCCGAGAGGCCGGGAGGAGGGCGAGGCCAGCCCAGCTGGCTCCAACTAGCCCTGTGGAAAGAGCACGGGAGCGGAGGACCTGAGTCCCGGATGTACTGCCTGCCGCTGACCTTAGGCAGTCCCCGCCGCGCTCGGGCCTCAGTTTCCCCACCCGTAGGCCGAAGCTGAGGGTCTCGCTCGCCGCGCTGGTTCGCCTCGGCTGGTCTTTTCGGGAACTGGGAGGGACGCCTTTCTCTTCCGGGTCGCGCTTCCCCGGCCCCGGGGCTCCGCGGTCGCCCGCAGAAACCTGTCCCTGCTACAGCGGCGCGTCACCGCGCGCCGGGCTAGCCCGAGGGGCGGTCATTAGGCGATCGGCCCCGAGGCTGCTGGGCCCGGCCAGGCTGGGCAGGAGCCGGGCTCTCACCTGGGCTCGCACGCGCCCGGCTCGCGCCTTCCTGTCGGCCTCGCGGCGCAGCCGAGCCGCGCGACACTCTTTCATTTTCATCCCTGCGCTGGCGGCCGCGGCCGCGCGGGGAACGCCCTGCCGGGGTCCCCGCAGTCCTCCGCTGGAAGCGGCCGGCGCCGGGAAGGGGCCGCAGCGAAGCCCGCCTGCTCAGAGCGCACAGCCGGGGGCGCAGGCCCTCCCGGGCTGCGCCAGCCCCCGCCACCCCTAATCCCAGACCCCTCGCTCTGGTGCGTCTCCGGGGTGGGCGCTCGGACCACGATGCCAAAGGGGCTGGGCAGATCGTGCGCAGCGGAAACCTACCCGATGGGGGCGGTCAGCTCCGTCCCCTGCGCACGCCGAGGGCCGCCTCTGGTGTCGCTTACGCTGGCTGGCTCATCCCCACCGAGGAGCCGTGGCCGGACCCTGAGGCGCGGGAGGAGCGGGCGCAGCGCGGTTTGGGTGCGCGCCGAAGCATCGCCTCCTCCCGCGGCATAGCTCCAGCGCGGGGTCCCCGCGCCCAGGCAGGCCATGTGACCTGAGAGCTGCGGAGCAAGCGCAGCCCCTAAAGCCAGCTGGGGAAAAAAGGACGGCAAAAGGCGCCAACTGATGGGCAAAGAGGGAAAAGCAGGCTCAGGGTAAAGGAAGTTGAAATGCTGGAAGGATTAGGTCTCTGCGCTGTTCCCAGTCCCAGCTGTCCATCAAGCGTGTTCTCTGCTGGAGGGATTTGTTTTTGCCAATAATAAAAATAATAGCGGACGCCACTTCCACCCGCAATCCCCACTGTACCCAGCGTTTATACCGGGTGCCTTATGAACATTCCTCTAGCTCTCACTTCACTCCTGTACATTGGAGATTATCATCCCCAGTTTGCAAGTGACGAAAGAAGATTTGAGAAGATAATTTGCCAAGTGCAACCCTTATTCCAAAAGCCAGAAATGTAAACATTTACTAAAAAGCAGAACGGTTTGGTCTAACCAGATCGCCTAGTCAGGCATGGGATTTAGGTCTGTGGCTCTTTCCACTTACCTGTCAGTCTCTCCCAGGAGTGGCTTTGGTGGTTCATTTAAAAGTCTCGTCAAAACTGACTATAGTGGAGCTATTTAAAAATGGAATCAGCGCTGCCTTTCCAGAGAAACTGTCTTTTTGGCTTGAACCTTGGGTTGGGCCAAACCTTTGGACTGGTCCAAAAAGGCGATTGTTTCACAAGCAATTGTTTGAGAAGTCAGCAGGAGACCAGACATCCCCATCACAAAGACTGAGGATTGTGGACTTTCTGAAGATAGAATCAACAGTCAATCAATGTTTAGCCAAGACTAGCTTTCTGCCTCCCATTCCAATTAAAATTCTTTGTAATACAACCTCTCGTCTTTGCCTTTAAAAACCCCTGACTTTTACTTTGTAGTGGGACACTATTTGGGTTGCTACCCAAATTTGTGTACCCTAAAATGCAATTCTTTGATCCCCAAATAAACACCTCTCTGCCTCTCATTTTGGCTCTTTATTTTTAGGTTAACAGCCTGAAGCAGTACCCATCCCTAACCCTTAATTTTGGCAGATAGATAATATCATACCCATCTTACAGATGGAAAAATTGAGCTTTGGCCAAAGGAATGATCTTATCCAAGTGACAGGGCTGGTCAGTCTAGTCTACTAGTTAATAAGGGAGTGGTTATTTACTAGGAACTGTGCAAAACATATTATTCACATTATTTTAGTACTCAATATTCAGTACAACTCTAATTTGGGTACAACAATCTTATAAGGAAGCTACTATTATTATTCTAAGTCAAGAAAACTGAGGCTCAAAGGGATTATGAATTTGCATAAAGTTCCGAAGCTAGTAAGTGGTAGAGTTTGGATTCACATCTAGGTCTTTTTGTCTACAGAGGCTTCACCTGTCTCCAAAGCCGTGTGTTTTTTTCCCCCATGCTATGTGGCTTCTTACTCCTTTCTATAGCTTCTAGATTTTGCCAGAGATAAATGGAGTGTCTAACCTGTATCCAGAGGCTCAGGGCATTGTAACCGCATTGAGCTCATTCGCTGTGACATCTTCTGGATGATGTAAACAGCGCCTAATAAATTGAAGTCTTTATCAGCCAGTGGCTGGCTTTCTGTGTATAGAGCCCAGGCTGTACCATTTATGGATCCTGATGTTCTCCCGAAGAGCACCAGACATAATTTCTAAGGGCAGATCAGAGCTGGGTATATTTCACTCATAGCAAAAGCCGAAGTTCCTACAATCGCCAGAAAGGTCCTACAGGATGTGGCTGCTGGCTCCTGGTCTGGCTTCCTATCCAACCACCTTCTCCTTTGCCCTCTACCCTAGCCACACTGGCCCCATGCTATTCCTCAAATACACCAAACCCAGTCCCATCTTACGGCCTTTGCACCTGCTTTTCCCTATGCTTGGAACACTCTCCCTCTAGATTTCCATGGGGCTTGCTCCATTGCTGTCCCTGATCGTCCCCTATAATCTCCACTCCCATCCCAGCACTCCCATCCCCTGAGCTCCTGCCTTTGTTCTTCTCCACAGTGAATGACAAGTGAATGAGTATGAACTCCTGGTTCTACCCTGTAATTCTAACACTTTGCACAGAAGATCTAGAAGAGAGAAGGGGGCAAAGGGAGAAGAGAATCGTGAAGAAGATACCTGCAAAGTGGCTGTAATTACTAATGAAGGGCTTTCACGCATTGAGAGATCATTTCTGAACTTCACCTCTCAGAAACCACTTAGTTAATAGGCCACAGAGGTTTAATAAAAGATCCTATACATAATTAGGTGATACTGAACAAGGTAACTTAGTGTGTATTGTGAAAGTGCTAAGTAGTCACTAAGTATATAATAAGTGCTCATAATGGTATTTGAAGATGTGATCTGTCATAAGTTATAATTTATTTCATTCACATATTATGAATGAAACTACCTAAAATCTAGGGAGCTCTTAAAAGAGCAGTGAGATCTCAAGCCAACTCGGTGTCCAAATGAGAATTGCAGAATACTTTTTCCCCCTCAGATAGGTCTTCACTACTCATTCAAGCATATGTGTGTAAATCTGTTCCTGCCTTCAGGGTCACCCCCAAGTCATGCAAACAGGAAGCATGTTTCTTTTAAAAGATGAATAGAAGCCAGCATTATATTTCGTCAGGTAGGCACAGAGAGATTACTTGCATTAATGAAACGATATCTTTCAATGCACGAAGGCCCTTCATTGGAAAGCTATGATTTTGGGTCTCGAATGTTTTTCAGTCCTCCAGAAACCTATTTAAACACAAATGGTCCTGAGATAGAGAACACTGGAGGCATGAGAAAATTGCACATAGGTTGAAAACAATTAATGAGGAAGGGGAACACAGGAAAGAGATGTGGAATGACCCTGGGGAGGAAAAGGATGGGATCAAAAGAGAAGACATAGACAGCCACGTTCCACCCTGGTCTTTCCCTTCTTCCCAGAGTTCCCACCAGAGTTTTACTGCCTTTCTCAGGCCTTCTAATTCTAGGTCTGTTTGCCTGTGTAAGCCAGGGGTTAGCAAACTATAACTCACTGCCTGTTTTTGTGCAGCCCATGAGCTAAGAATGGTTTTTACAATATTAAATGGTTAAAAAATAAAAAGAACATTTAGAGACACGTGAAAATTATATAAAATTCAAATTTCAGTCTTATGGAGACCTAGTCATTCGTTTACATATTGTCTATGGCTGTTATCACGCAACAGCAGAAGTGTTGAATAGTTGTGACAGAGACCTCATGACCCACAAAACCTAAAATACTCATGATCTGGTTATCAGACACCCACTCTAAAAGGTCTATTCAGTGGTCACAAGGTAAGGCAGTAAAGCCAATGAGGGCTCACATGATTTCATCTCATGTATGTCAGCATAGTTGATGCTAGATATTAAGTTCCCTTAGAATCTTACATCCATCCATCTGGGCATCCCTCCATCCTCTATTCTTATGACTAATATTTATTGAAGAATTGTCCTGACGTAGTGCCAACACTATACATAGATGAGAATGAAATAAGATGAGATGGGTGTCCTACTCTCAAGTAATCATTAGCAATGTTGGGAAGTCTATATAAGACTGCTGAGACCTGGATCTGACACAGGAAAGGAGCTTGAGAAGGTACTCCCACTTTCTGGACCAGTCCCAGACCTCCTACTTCCAGACTTCTTTTACATGAGAAGGTTAAAAAAATTTTTTTAAGTTATTGTTATTTTGGGGTTTTTTTATTATGTTATTAAACTTAATCCAATATAAGTTATAAAGAGGAATACACAATTATTTGAAGTTGTTTCATACTCTGTTAAAATCATATGGTAAGATTCTAATTGCCATGTTGGGTGGTAGTTTCAAGGGTGTTTATTATTATTATTTTATATGATTATAGTTACACATAGATAATGAAAATAACTCCATTCTCTATGACAGGAGTAACAGAGAGCCAGTTTTTCAGATTAAAACTCAAAGTTGAACAGGCATCAAGGTCTTTTATGAAAGAAAATAAATAGAGGTTCCAGGAGAAGGTAAGAGGGGTGGTAACCTAGGAAAGCCTGGGAAATTCCTGGGAAGATAAGTTTGCAGCCTTCTGGTTCTCATCTGGTAAGCCCCTTTCTTTGTTCCTGCCTAGCTACCTCCTTTCCCTTGTGGTAGGGAGGGTTTTTTCTTTTCTTTTCTTCTTTTTTGAAAAATTGGACTTTTGGGGCTTAGAAAGAGATCAATCATAATTCTTGGTTTATGATATGCTCTCATCAGGTGCCTATGTAGGGACTTCTGTCTATTAGTAACAATAACAATAATAATATAATAAATGCCCTTAAAATCACCAGCCAGCATGGAAACTAGAACCCTGAACAACAGCTTCCATCCAGCTATATGGTTCTTACTCATTCCATCCCCTTGGATATGTTAAAGAAAAAATTATTTGACAACACTTGTTGAAGACAGTGAGGCAGACCTTATTCAAGGGGGCCATGATGATAGGTATAGGGACCACTGCAACGGGGTCTTGTCGAAGGGGATTGGACTCAATTCGGAACATAGCAGGGGCAAATGGGAGTTTACAGCCAAGCGGCAGGATGGAGGTTGGTGGATGGCAAATTACTAAGAGGAAACATTTGGCGTAAAGAGAGATTCCGGCTAAAGGGACTTCACAGGTTTCTTGCTGAAGACAGGCCAGGGTGATCAGATATTGAGGGTGGGAGTTCTTGCT